TACTACAGGGGCTTAAATAGTTACCAATATCATTCTGGGTGTTCCTCATTAAAATCATAGTAAAATGTTTTTGGCGGTTCCTTATCAAAGTTTTGGTATAATATACCGCCAAAACCCTATTCTCATTATTGAGGCCTAAACCCTAAACCCTAAACCCTAAACCCTAAACCGTCCAGTGGCCGAGGCAACCACTACCCCATCCCGGAAGCGCGAAAGCATCGCCCCAAGTTCTTTCAGGGCTTTGCTTTTTCCCCAGGCCTCCAGGGTTTAGGGTTTAGGGTTTAGGGTTTAGGGTTTAGGGTTTAGGGTTTAGGGTTTAGGGGTTTAGGGTTTAGGGGAAGGAATCTACCCTAAATGATCGTATGATCATGTATGCTTCCTAATATGATTTAAGGTATCTTCCCCCAAGGAAAGGGGTTTAGGAAGATCTGGTTCCTGTTCAGGGGGCTCAATGCATCAAGGGCTTGAAGGTTTTGTGCGAATAGGTTTGGGGTCAAGGATTCAAAGGGGTCTTGAGGCAGGAGCCACAAACATGCGATCCTCAGAACCCTAAACCCTAAACTCCTAAACCCTAAACCCTAAACCCGTAAACCCTAAACCCTAAACCCTAAACCCTAAACTCCTAGACCCTAAGCCCTAAGCCACACCGCTGATGCATGTGACGTATTGAATTCCAAACTCCCAGCCCTTCAAGCCTCACATCGCACATCCCACAACTCTCAACCTTAAAACCCAATCTGAAAACCCTAAACCCCTAAACCCTAAACCCCTAAACCCTAAACCCTAAACCCTCAACCCTAAGCCCTGAACCCTAAGTAAACCCTAAACCCTAAACCCTAAACCCCTGAAGTAAACCCTAAACCCTAAACCCTAAGTAAACCCTAAACCCTAAACCCCTGACCTGACCAACCTGAAGAGCCTCAACTCCTAAACCCCGGGCTTGAAGATCCTGAAACCCGACATGGTTTAGGGTTTAGGGTTTGAGGTTTAGGGCTTTAGGGCTTTAGGGTTTGAGGTTTAGGGTTTAGGGCTTTAGGGTTTAAGGTTTAGGGTTTAGGGTTTTAGGGTTTTAGGGTTTAAAGTTTAGGGTTTTAGGGTTTAGGGTTTGACCCTACGTCCCGAACCCGGAACCCTAAACCCGAAATTCCAACCCCAAAACCCCAGCCTAAATAATTACCAATACTATTTTGGGGTTCCTGAATATAACTGCAGTATAATGGGCCCCAAAACCCTATTCTAATTTTAAACGCTTCGTGTCGTCCGCCTCGGCCCGGCCGCGAACAAAGAGCGCCAACGAACTGCCGGTGCCTTGAAGGCGCCGTTGGCGGAGCGGAGCGGACGAGGACCTGGGAAGGGGAGGAGACCGCGTACAATGGGGAGGGGAGGGGGGGCCGGGTGGGGGGGCGGAAGGGGCAGGGCAGGGTATTCCCTACAGAGAGCCCAAATCCATTGGAAGAGGCGAGATTTAGTGTGTTTTTCACGGGTTTCATGGGGTCTTGCAAGAGGGCTTTCAAGGGAAAGTCATTACCAATTCTTCAAACCTCGATACTCGTATTGCTTGAAGGTTCAGGGTTAGTTATAAGTAGGGCTTAGCGTTTAGATGAGCTTGCGGCTTAGAGCTCAGGTTTAGGGTTGAAGGGTGCAAGGCCTTGTCGGCAATGCACTTGGCTCTCCGTCATGCTATGGTTGAGATACTGCCTCCAGTCAATGATAACAGTTAAATATATTTGCAATATAGAAACATTCTGCCCTTAGTAGTGCCCTAAAAAGACGGTTACCCTATGCGGGCAGTACTAAGCTATGGTCACAGACGATGTCGCTCACATCCGGCGTTTGTTGGGGACGCCATTCTATGAACCCCAATGCCTACACCAGGAAATCCTTGGTCTTAGTACACGGGTCTGAATAACTAGTAGTCGTAATCCCTTTTAGGCCGTCATCCGAGTCTGTATACAGCTATAGCATAAATACCCTCCCCCAAACCCAAACCCTATTCGAACTGTTAAGGCTCGTACATTACATAACCTGCATTCAGAAAACCGGGGACCTGAATGATCCATCCTGGTCAGGGGTGTAAGCAGTTTTGGGAGCATTAGTGGTCATCGTAGCTGAGGGGTGATAGTATACCAAGAGCACATGCAAGCTGTAGAAACACTAGTCCGGATAGTGGCAACAGCAGCAGTGATAGAAAGATAAACAAACATTATATTTTCCAGCAAAAAGGACACGGTAGTAGCAGACTTGAGATTAGTCATGCCAGCAGCACGACCTTGCAACTAAACGTTGAACATCGTCAAGTGCACAACTGCTGATTTGCGCTTGTCCGCAACCTTTCGGGCAGGGCTGATGTTGAGGTTGCTTGGGCACAGGTCAGCATTTAGAATCCAAGTGGCGTGGAAGGCGGAGAAGCCGAAGGTGACGATCCGGAAGAGAAATGCTTCTCAGACGTCTCTAAACCCTAAACCTTAAACCCTAAACCCTAAACCCTAAACCTTGAACCCTAAACCCCAAACCTTAAATCCCAAACCCTAAACCCTAAAGAAGTCTCGATGGACGTGGACCTCGAACGAGTTTTGGCCGGTCACCATCTCATCGGCCAAGCAGATGCTGCCTCGGCAGTTTGTGTGTTGTGTGTGGTTTAGGGTTTAGGAGTCTCTGTGTGTGGGTGTTTGACCCAAAGCCCTAAACCCTAAACCCTAAACCCTAAACCCTAAACCCTAAACCCCTAAACCCTAAACCCTAGAACTTAAAAAAACTGTTCATGCCAGACCTTAGGACAGCAAACCCTTAAGCAATAAACCTCCCAACCCCGACCCCGCACCCCTGAGCCTCCGAGCCCGACACACTGAACGCTAAGCCTGTGAAGAAGCTTACGCCGTAAACTTTTAGATGCCAAGCCCTAAACCCTAAACCCTTTAGGTTTAAGGGTTTAAGCCCCACCATGTGTTAAGAAAACCCTAAACGCCTCAAACTTACCTTTGGTTAGTAGGGAATGGAAGAATGGTAGTAATCGTAGTTATTATTGTACCCCATTCCTCCATTCCCTACTAACCAAAGGTAAGCAAACAGGTCTAACATGCGCCATCGGCCGATTGGGTTGGGCGTCCAGGCCAGGGAAGCGCTTGTGCATGAGGGGTTTGGCGATCTCGGTATGATGGGTTTGGGGGTTTAGGCTGAACGGTTAAAACCCTAAACCCTAAACCCCAAACCCTAAAACTCTAAACCCTAAACCCTAAACCCTAAACCCTAAACTCAATATAAGGGTCCTGGGTTCTCTAAGGTTCTGTGAAGGACCTATAGGGATCTATAAGGGATCTTCAAAGGTTTAGGGTTTAGGGTTTAGGGTTATGAAGGACCTATATGGGATCTATAAGGGATCTTTTTAAGGTTTAGGGCTTAGGGTTTAGGGGTTCAGGGCCTAGGGCTTAGGGTTCAGTCCTATAAGCCCCCCCAAACCCTCTCTGTTGAGGCCCCAAAACTAGGTTCCGGCTTGGGTCCTCGTGTTTTGGGTGTGTCAGGTGGCCGCAACCCCCAAATCCGCACCGTCACTTCGGTGCTCGCGTTTTGGAATAGTGCTTGGGATGGAGACATTTTCAGGTGGGTAGTTACCGTTATAGGAGCCTTATAGAAGGTCTATATACTTTATGGAAGCCTTGTAGAAGCCCTATATACCCTAAACTCCCCACCTGTAGTTTCCTTTAACATAGACGGGTCAGGAGCCTCGATCAAATCCTCCCCAACCCCTGGCACCGTCGTCCTCGTAATTGTCCTCATCGCGATGGGCATGTAAGCAGCTGTCGCGCGACTGCGGGAGCTAGGGTGCTGGCCCCGTTGGCTGCCGCTCATGTTCATCCATAGCCTCAAAGCGCGCCTGCATAACTTTTTTCGATAGACAAGTGATCTCGTTTCGTAAAACCCTAAACCCTAAACCCTGAACTCTAGACCGTAGCTAAACTCTAAACCCTCAAACCGCAAACACTAGTCCGTGACGACTTTTCGGCCCAAACAGCTGCCTCATTGGATCCTCGAGCCTGGTTTGGGGTTTAGGGTTTAGGGTTTGGGGTCTAGGATCTAGGGTTTAGGGTTTGGGGTCTGAGCTCGACCACACCTTTCCAGCATTTCCTTGGCCTTAGTGTAGGGCCCATTATACTATAATGATACTAAGGAACCCCAAAATATTATTGGCAATTCATTCTGTTCGGCGCTGGCGGTCGACCTAGCGATAGCTTGACCATCAGATCCTACCCGCTCTCATGTCGATAACAGCAACTGCTGAGTTGCAAGACAGCTGCAGTGACAGCGGGCTTGGATGAAGAGGTGACCACGTTGAAACCTCGGGCACAGACTGCGCTTGGAGTGGGCAGGGGGCGGCTGGTGGACTCGTTTGGAAGGATTCTGGATTCATGCGCACCGGTCAACCGTGTCGGGCTTTAGATTGGTGACTCCGTGGCATTGCACGTACGCAAAGTTCAAACTCATGCCACTGCCGCTGCTTTTGCTACCGTTCTTGGTGATGGAACCGCGTGACTTGGGGTCATGCGTGCCGTGGTGGCTCCACCGGGGCTGTAAAGGATCAGCTTAAGACTTCGCAGCACGTGCAAGCCACTTTCGGTGCTTTTGCTGTCGTTCTTGGCGATGGATCGGTCATGACCCGGGGTGTTTCGATTTTCGCCGGGACAAAGTTCGAAGCGTTGCCCAACCCTCGGTGCTGCCATTCCGATCTTTCTGCACGCTTGAGAGCTGTCGGCGCTCACTTACTTGCAGCTTTGGAAATGCTCGCCTTCACGTCCCTCCAGGAAAAAACAGTGCCGAGGACGAGATTAATGAGAAGACCAAGAATGCCGACATCCCGGACGATGTGGACACGAC